TCCAATCCCCTGCCCAAGGCAGGAATCCTTATACCATCCCAGACAATTGAATGTCCAATCTTTTCTTTAAAAGCTGTCTGTTGGTTAATTGATGTCACTGTCAGGAAATCTCTCCTTAATAGTAGGATCTCTAACAAGCTTCTACCCATTGCTTCTTATACTGTCCTCAAGTGCTTTAGAAAATAAATAAACTCCCTCATCTGTGATTATCACTCAAGTATTAGAAGACATCTGTCATGTCACCCCTAATCCTTCTCTTCGTTTGGCTAGACACACCTAGCTCCCTCAGTTGCTGATCATGTGATTTAGCCTCCAGACTCCTTATCTGAGAGTGCTCTTCTCTGCACTCTTTCAAGGGTTTCACGATCTTTTTTTTTCTATCATGGTGACCAGAATTGGATTCCAAATGTGCCCTTACTAATGTAGTATAGAGCAGTACAGTCACTTTCATGATCTTGATGCTATCCTTCTGTCAATGCAGCCTAGAAATGCATTGGCTTTTTTGACAACTGCAGCATGCTACTGGCCCATCTATTAGGATGCCTAGATCTTTCTAACAATAATTGTTGTTGAGCCAGGTACTACCTATTCTATACCTGTGCATTTGATTTTTCTTGCCTAAGTGCAGAACCTTATTTTTCTCACTACTGAACTGCATCTTGATGAATAGGCTCATTTCTCTAATCTGTCAAATTCCTTCTGAATCTCTATCTTCGAAAGTGTTAGCAATTCCCCCGTTTGGTATCATCTGCAGATTTGATGAGATATTTCTGTTCCCTTGTTTAGATTGTTTATGAAGTTGTTGAAGAGTACAAGATAGAACCTTGAACCCTGACAAAATCACACTATACGCTTCTTCCCATGTAGATGTAGCTCCACTGAGGGCTACATGCTGAGTGTGATTGGTCAGCCAATTATGAATCCATCTGGTGGTGGTACTGTCTATTCTACATTGAGGATAAACTGATCTACTTTATCAAATGCTTTACTGAAATCCAAGTATACTATATCAATAGCATTTTCCTGATCCACTAATTTAATCACTTTATCAAAGAAGGCAGTAAAGTTTATTTGGCACAGTCTGTTTTTAACAAACCCAAGCTGGCATTTATTAATCGTCTTGTCCATTTCTAGGAGCTCACAGATCTGCTGCTTGATTATATTTTCTAAGTCTTTCCTGGTATTGCTGTTAAGCTGATTGATCTGTAGTTTTCTGGTTCTACTTTTTCCCTTTTTTCTTTTTCAAAAATTGGAACTATATCAGTTGAAGAAGCTTCTTGGATGAGAAGTTTTCAAGGAAAAATTCCAAGAAAGACCATTTACCTGGATGATTTAGAATCTCCATCAGCAACCACATCTGCTCTTTTTCCAATCCTCCTCTTTCCAATTCTTTCTCTATTTCAGGAGCTTTGTAATATTTTGTTCAGTGGTTTTGAGTCACACCTGCCGGTTTCTCCAGAATTGCTTCTGGCCCTGCAATTTGAACTCATCTAAATTGGAAAGGTGTTTTCTTTACTATTTTTTTCCTATTTTGTCCTTTCCTGTTCTGTCTCTCACTGTTGGAGTATTGGATTATTTCTTCCTTTTGCATAAGGACAAATGCAAAAAGGAATTAAGCAGTTCCATTTCTCCTTGATGCTTGTCACTATGTTGCCACCTTCTCTATTAGCGGACCTATCATTTCCTTGATATTTTTCTTATTCTTTACATATTAAAAGAAACTTTTAAAAAATATTTTTGGCATTTGTAAATTTAGTTCATTCTGAGCCTTAGCTTTCTGATTCCATCCTTGCAAATTCGGGCAATTTGTTGATATTTTGTTTTAGTTATGTGACACTCTGTCCATTCCAAGTCTTAGTTCATTCTGAGCATTAGCTTTCCTGTCTCCATGCTTGCAGATTCAGAGGACTATTTTGGGCACTATCCAATTGGAGCACCATTGACCTGAAATAACTTACTTTATGTATGGAATGTTTTGAAGTAGTTTAATTTTTACTGTTTTAATAAACTTAGCCACATAAAATCTACTTTTCACAGCTTTCCTAAGCAAATTCATAGAAAACTGACAGATCCAATCTCATAATAGTCAACCAGAATTTATTTATTCTACAAAGAAATTAATTTGCCAACAGGTTCCGTCTTTTAAAAAATTGAATTCCAGCAAGCCTATTAATGTCCAGTATAATTTGGTACATAAGAGATTCTCCAGAAATGAATTATGGATGGTATCAAACTAAAGAAAGTTAATTATTATTTCTCAGTGATAATTATTGGGGGCGGGGAACTGAATTTTCTAAACAAGATCCAGGTAGAGGAAAATGCTTTGAATCATCTCAAAACAAAATTTCTTTTTAAATGACAAAATTAGTCATTTTTGAGTAGCCAGATTCCCCCTTATAAAGCAGCAAGATACTTATATTGAATAACTGTTCCAAAATCCGAAGGGCATTAACCTTAGTATGCAGCAATGCACTTCTCACAGCAGTTTTGGAGGGCTGATACAAAAAAATACCATATAAACTGAGATTTTGCCCCGGTAGACAAGGAAACGATAACTCCTGCCTGCTATTGTCCATCTTCTGCAAGGAATTACACCTCAGTTTATAACACCTCACCTAATAAAATGCCTGGGAAATGCTGATCTCTTTTATATACACTACTGCTATCAGATCAGCACAAAGTAGTTTATTTAAACGTAGCCAAATTTTGTTATACTGTATGCAAAATTAGGCAGATTCTAACTGACCACTGATAATCCATCATTAATCATAATATATTGTTTTGTTCGCTTTTTTCTTTGTATTAAATTATTCTTAATGCTTTTGTTTGTAATGCTGATCTGAGACTGTAATAAAAATTGATTGATTGGAATGACCAAATTGGTCTGAAATCAAATTTGTAGTCAATGCACAGTCCTGATGCAGTAATAATGATTACAGTGATTTCAGTTGAAACTTTGATTTAACAATTGATCTTTCTTATTTATGGAATTCTATTCTATCTTCTTACAAAAAATATTTTAAGAGTATTTTTTATTAGTAGTAGCTGTAAGAAAATGCATTAAATATCTTCAGCTTTCCTGGGGTAGAAAATGAACTTGTTGCAGAAAGGTTTAATCGCATGAGAATTCAAATACCATGTTAGATATATATTGCAATACTGCTCAAATATTGAATTATATTTTCCTGTTGATGCTGCTATGTTCTCAGGTAGCAAATTACTAGAGTAACAAGGAAATATTTCTTTTTAGCCTCCTTATCCAGGGATAGAACAGCCTCCCCATCACCCATACTACCAGCACCATGCTCCACCTCCACAGGCTCACCCTCCTTACTCAGGACACCATCCCATGCCACATGATGCACGGTACAGGGATAAGCGAGTGGTAAGTGCAGCCTGGGTCACTGTTTTCCAAGTTAGGAAAATTTGGTTGATTCAGATTTGGTTGAAAATTACTGTGTTCATTATGAAATATCTATGGCTAAATATCTAGGACTAGATAGTTACAGAAGTGCCAATTTGATGTAGTGGTTAAGACATCAGGCTAGAAAGCGGGACATCATGAGTTCTATTCCCATTTTAGATAGAAAGCCAGGTGAGTCACTATCAGCTGTAGTTTGGAGTCAATGTCGAACTGCTTCCAAAAACTTTGCCAAAAATACTGCAAGGACTTGTCCAGTCTTCTATAATCAGACACAGTTGAAAAGAAGGGGGGGAGGTATTTACATATTTGTAAAACTCAGTGTGGTAAGGTTTGCAGGCAACATATTTCAAAAATTTCAGTTAAAAAAATAAAGATCAGCATGTGGAAACTGCAGAATGTAAAGAGGATGACCCGAGGGAGAGAGGGGAGAGTTACCAAAGAATCAAGGATAAAACATAGATTAAGCCTAGGACATGTAGAAAGTATGTGGAAATAACTCTTGACAAACACCTTTTTAAATCACATGGTTATAAGAGAGGAGAGGCAGCACAATCAGACTTGTGAGATTATTACTATCTAAATCACAGTGGTCTAGTATATACTAATAGTTATTAAATATGTTAACATTACAACAGTGAACTGTTGCTGGATAATTGGTAGCCCTTTAGATCCAAGTATTTTTAGTAACTCCCGAGGAGATAGAAGAACTTGCAATTTTAAACTTAGTGATATTTAAAATTATTGTGCCTTCTATAGCATGACTATGACATGAGGGTGGATGACTTTCTACGTCGGACGCAAGCAGTTGTCAGTGGTCGAAGAAGCAGGCCGAGAGAGAGAGAGCGGGATCGTGAACGAGATCGGCCCCGAGATAACCGAAGAGACAGAGATCGGGAACGAGGGAGGGAAAGGGAGAGAGAAAGAATATGTGATCGGGACAGAGACAGAGGAGAAAGAGGAAGATACAGAAGATAATGTATTGTGAAACTACAATTACTTAAGGAAGCAAAGGCATGTATATTTGCGTGTTTACAGGTAGTAAACTTTTATTTTCCTAAGTCACCATACTTGATTGTGTAGATGAATTTATAATTGCCCCTATTCCAAGCATGCCGTAAGCTGTGAATTGAAAAACTTCTTTCGGCCAAAAACGTGTGAAGCTTGATTCTTCAGTTGAGATTTTCATTTAAGCAGTTTAGAAGACAAATATTTAAAGAATGTAGATGAATTTTCCCAACATGTTTATCTTAACAGTAATTTAATTATATGTTCCTTTGAATACAAGTTATTAGCTGCCATAATTTTTGCTCTGTTTTTTTGATATGTAGCTTTTAATATTTCTTGAGTGGGGTAGGGTGGAATGCTGCTATCAAGTATGCAAAAATACTGGGTGTGATGGCTGTATGGCAGTATTGAAGTGGTCGCCTTTTGTTTTTCTGTTTCTGTTTTAATTTCTGTAAAGGCAAAGCTTGTTCAATAATGAAAGCAATAGTAATATGATATTGAACCTGTGCTCTGATTGTATTTTGTTTAATGCTCATCTAATCACCTCACTTGCACTCTTTTTTCTCCAAATTAACCATACTGTTTAGAATGTCCACTGTATGTATGTGTGCATACATGCGTGAGCACAAATACTGTTGTATTCTACATTGCTATCATTTCTTTTTTTATAATAAATTACTAATAGTCAAATTCCAAGGACTTTGATGCTTTCTGGCTTTAAATCTTAAGGAAAGATTAGTTATTAATTTGTCAATGTCATTTCAGGCTTTCAGGCCTCAGCATGAGAGAGAAAAAGAGGCACCATCAGAGTTGTCCTAGGTAGTGATGATAACCCAAATAAATTTCCATTCCTATCCAATATATTTAAATTTGTGGGCATATAAATTAACAACTCCATAAAAATATAAAGTGTGGGAATCTCAGACTCAGGAAAGTGCATGGTTTTGTTATAGAAATATGAAACTTGGAAAATGGTGGCCAGTGAATATTTCCATGTTAGTTTATTTAACCAAGCCCCATGCTATTTATTGCAATTTACTGCCAGTAAGAATGCTTGTTCATGCCTGAGACGAAGCAAATTGTCTATTTGATATTATAGTAAGAATAGTCTGATATTACAGTAAATTATAGTAGTTCTCTAATGAAAAAGCTAGAGGTATAAAGTTTCTGGACATCTTGATTCCACAAATAACATCTCTCCTTTTTTCCTTTTCTAAAATAAAACAAAAAATAGCAATACCTGGTATTCTTTACCAATCTTGTTATTTTGTCACCATAGGAATATAATGCAGTTTATGTATAATTGCTCATAAAATCATTTTAATATAACATTAATATTGATTAACCAATCAAGTGTGGTTGGGTATTTGGGTATTTTTGAAACAAACTATGAGATTAGAAAATGCATTGATGTGGTCAATGAAGGTTTAATATTCTGACTTTAAACCCCTTGTATTTCTATTAAAATAGTGTTTTCTTTTAACTTTTTTGTGGTGTTTTCTTTTTGTATGGAGTAAAAGCATTAAAAGGCTAGAAAGAGGATTTTCTTCTTAAGCTTCTAGATTTACAGTGCCTAGAACAGAATGTCAAACTCAAGGCCCGCAGGCCAGATCCAGTCTGTGATATGCTTAGATCTGGCCTGCGGGACTTCCCTGGAGACGGCAAGGAGATGGCCCGCACCGCCTTATCCCTGGCCCAGCCCAGTCCAGCCAAGTGCTCCCCCTGGGTGCGCACACAGGCTCTGGCGGTGCCCGGCTGCAGCTGGTTGGCCTCTCTGCTGCTCATTAGCCAGCAGCGACTGCCAGCCAGATGTGAGCCAGGGCTTCTAATAAGCCACACTCAACCCCATCCAATCTGCACCGCATTTGTCCACCTCTGGGCCTTGCAGCCAGGCCACTCCCATCCTACCACATGCCTCGCCTTGCCCCGCTACAGCAGCACCGCAGCTAGGCCATCCTTGCCCCATCACCTGCCTCACTTTGCAGCACCAGCAGCAGCAGCCCCATCCAGCAGTAGCCCCAGCGCCCCTCTGCTCTCCTCCAGCCCGGGAAGCTCACAAGCCCAGAGGGGAAGCCGCCGTTGCAGCCTGCTGGGCAAAGCAGCCACCTCGGAGTGGTGCCCACAAACCGGCCCATCAAGCTGGCCACGTCCATCCAGTCTTGCCTACCTAGTCGCGGTGACCCAGCCACGCCCATCTGGCAACCATAATGCCGATGCAGCCCTCAATGAAATTGAGTTTGATACTGCAGGCCTAGAACAAGTAAAGCAATTGGTTAACTCATCTTAATACAACATGTGCTCAAAAAGACTCCTTAATTTAAAATGATCCTCTTTCAGAAAGGAAATATTGTATCTAGGAAAATAGACTGTTTTTCTCTCCTCTGTACTTGCCATCCTTTAAAACCTGGTCACGCTAGCAGGACAACAGGATATCCCAGAGGATAGAAATGAATTGTCAAGGACAGTATATCCTGGGAAGCACTATTTTTCCTCTGCATAGAAAAGAAAGATAATTTTATGAGAGTTATTGTAAATTTATTACAGTCAAAAAAGCCAGTTGGTTGCAGGAGACAAAAGATTTTGTATATGAGTATCTTATCTTAAACATTTTATTCACAATTGTAAGAAAACAATGCTGTCAACCATCCCATTCATTCATCCAGCAAAGAAAGGCTTCTGAACCATTGTTTTGCCAAGAGTATACTTTACTGGAGCTTAAATGGTTACAGAAGTTTAGCAAACCTGGTTCTGTGTTTTTGTGTGCAGTCAAAGCAATTAACATTCCCTTTTCCCTGGCTATCTCCCGTTATCACCAAACATCCTATTAAGTGCTGGTATATTGATAGGTAACCTTGGCTAGCAGGTGCCTGCTTCTCATTCCTTGACCAGAATGCTTAGTTTCCCTTCCCCTCCCCCCAATCTTCTCCTTGTATTCCAACCCTCTTCCCTCCCCCATTGCTATTGTCAGGTTGTAGGCTTTGCAAAACTTGGCTTGGGGGACAGCAGCCATGATAGATACATAATCCATTTTTTGTATTTTAAATCTTGAGAAAACAGAAATCTCGGAATTTTCCCTCTAACCTTTTTACAGCTGGTAAAGCCATGTGTTGATAAGAATATTGCACAAGACAGGCAGTGAATTGCAGTGAAGGCTCTCAGAGACATTTGGAGGCTTTGCCTAAGATCAAGTATTTTCTGATAGAAGTTATAAAAATTATATTAATGAAAGCAGCAACATTTGGATACTTGTTAACTCTTATTTGTTACTCTTAATACAGTAGCAAATATGTATCCATCTGAAAAGCAACAATACAACAGAACCAAAAGTTTTAGATAAATTAGTGTTTTAATTTGACTTTTCCTCATGCTTGTTATGGGTGACAGCTGAAGATAAGTATATCACTTAATCTTATCTAATTCTCTCTCTCTTATATATTAGATACTTCCATGAATATTTTTTAAACAAGTGATTGGCATTCTGTGGGAAAAAAATACTACATATGCATTTCTACATAAAGTAACAATTTGATTTGGAGAATTATAGAGAAGCTACTATTTGCAAAAAAAAATAATCACTTCTCCTTATAGCTGTCCCAAAGGCGCTTTTTTATGAGGTAACTGAACTTTCTTGTTTTTCTTTGAAGACGTTTTGCTTCTTCAGCTCTGAATGGATGGTAGGAAATGGAAGGATTTATACTCCTTGCAGATAGCTGTTCATTTGCATTCTTTTAGAGAGTCATTGAGGCCACCTGGAGGTTTATCTGGGTCATCAGGGTCACCTGAGTAGTGCAAATGGGTGTAGAGCCTTTTTGGAACTGCTGAAAGGACTGTTGTAGACTAGAGATAGATGATGTTGTATCCCCCTCTGTTGAGAGAGGGCTGTTCAATTTTGCATAGATAGCCTCTATGACCCCTCTTTCAAACTAGAAGCCCTCTCTGTCCGAAATGTGGACTGCTGTCTTTGAAAGAGTGGCCTTTGTCAACCTTGCTTCATTCATTAATAAACAACATCTTCAAAGAAAAATAAGAAAACCCAGTTGCCTCGTGAAAAAGCACCTTTGGGACAACTATGACCTGGATGACTGAGAATCTCCATAGACATCTTTCACTATAGCTCAATTTCTACTTCAAAAATTTCTTAACTAAATCAAAACTAAATTTGTTAACCATTTAGACATAGAAATAAAATTTAATGTTATGAATGGAATCTAATTATATGAAAACAATTAAAATAAATCTTAGTATATTAATAATGAACATAAACTATGTTAATCAGGTTTAGGAGACTGAGTCTCCTAAACCTGATTAATCTGTTTTTGATTTTTGTAAAATGTTGCCACATTTCCAAAAGCAATAAGAGCAGCATTTAAAAGCAATGAATCCAAAAATTACTGAGTAGCCAATCAAGAAGGCTATGACATCCAGACAGTGATACTGATACCAAGTCAAGTGACAGGCAGCTGCTTGCAAATGCTTGGCACCTTTGTGACGCATAACAAATTCAATCCAAAAGATAGCCCGGTCTAGTGGCTTTATTGGTTGATCATGATGGATCTCTGATATTTTTAGCGCATTTTTCTTAAAACTGGAAAATGAAAGAACAAGGAAAAGAATAAGAACAAATTAGGAAAGACCCAGAAATCAGCTTTCTATTGTATTTAAGAACTGCAGTCTTCAAATACCTATGGACTTTACATAGAACAATCTACCTATTTATCAAAACTCAAAGTAGCTTAGTGCCTGTTATAGTTTCTTAGCCAAAATCAGTTCCATTACTATTATAACCAACAGCTAGCTAGTTTATACTCCATTAAAATACTATTTTGTTATCTTCAGTGACACTTGAATTGCTTTCTATTTATTTTCATGTATAAAAAATATCAAAAAGTTGGCTAGAATTTCAAGATCCTTTTCTGAACAATGAAATTAGGTATACTGAACAAAGCACAAATGTTCCTATACTAGGGAAAGTATGATGCTCCAAATTCCATATAATCCTAGATAGCACAGACAATCAGAAGAGAATCAAATCCAATAAAATGCTCAAAGTACATATTCTACTGTTATCTCTTTATAGATATACAAAAATTAGGCCTAATTGAGATAAAATATCATAAATGGTAAAGTAACCAGAATTACTATTTTTGCAAAAATGATCATGACATCAAAGAAAAAATCCATTTACTATGAATATCTTAGATATAATCTGTATCTCAATTTCAGAAGAGTTTACAAACAACTCACAAAGCATTATGAATGACAGTATTCACAGCATTTACTAAATCTTCGGTTTTCATTGTGTGGATGTCCAGTGCCACAGCCATTCCCTTCGCCTTCATATGGATAATATTATCAGTCTGGTCTCCAAATAGGGGAATCCCTACTATGGGAATCGCATGGTAAATGGCTTCATAAATTCCATTTGTTCCACCATGTGTTATAAAAGCTTTGGTCTTTGGGTGGCCTGGAATAGAAAGATGAAAATGTTTTGACAAAATCTTTTAGGATATGAACATACTGATTGTTTAATTCTGTCTAAAGGAACATAAGGTGTCTCACCAAGAAGATCATTTTGTGGTATCCAATCATAGATCCTGGTATTGGCTCCAAGCATTTCTAGCTTTTCCCCTTTATACCGCCAAATAACCTAGGGTAAAAATAATTGAAATGCTATTCTATGTAGTCCAAATTACAAACCATGTTATAATTTTTCTTGGCCCATGAATTTCAGATTTTCTAATTTGTTTGCGTTTGGGGATTGAATTGTGTCATGGATCTTTTACTTTTTTCATCCTTGTAAAATTGCTGAAACTCCAAGGGATTACAAGATAATTTAAATGCAATAAATAAATAAAATTGCATGCCATTCTTTTTTATGACAATAAAATAAGTGAACTCATTTTACTAGTAATTTTTGTTTTGAATTGTACTTGCCATTTAAAACATTTATGCTGCATAACCAGAATTTAATAGATGCTTACTGTATTTCTTGTAGGTCTTTTACCATAAAGTTCATAGAAAACATGAGCTTTAACAAAAAGTATTTGCAATCCCTTCCCCAGTAGTGTGGGAATTTTCAGAAAGGAAGAAGTTACATAAAATCAATTGAAAATGCACATGTTTTAAATTTTCAAGCTCAAATGTTAAAAGTTATTGGGATAAGAAAATTTTAGACACAGTTCAATTAAAAGAAAATAATGAAATATAAGCATCCTTTGTAAATCAGTAAACAGTTCAATAAATCAGTAAATCAGTTGTTTATTGGAGGGTAAAATGGACAGATTTCTGGAACATCCACAAAGTATTCTCCTTCACAGAAATTTCTGTGTGTGACTTACGCCTAGGAGACTGACCTTCTGTGGAAGCTGGCTGAGTGCTGACGCAATTATATTATTTTTTTCATCTGTTATATTTTGAACCAGTGAACCAAATATCACAATACCATGTTCACCTGAACTCTGTACAAAATTTTCCATTTCCTGTTAAAAGCAAAGGAAAGAAAGAATCAGACCTTTTTATCATTACATGAAATGTTAAATTTTCTTTGGTTGGCCATGATTAGGGTGCTCAAACCACACACTTTTTGATCATATGCAAGCAGATGATGGACCAGGGAAAAATGCATGTAGTAATTTGCATTTGAAGGAAGCAGAAGAAATAGAATAACATAATAAGTTGGAAGGACCTTGGAAATCTTCTAATCCAACCCCCTGCTCAAGCAAGAGATTCTGTACTATTTCAGACAAATGGATGTCTGCCTTAGTGAAGCTTGTCCACTCCAAGGATAAAACACTCAGATACAAAACTGAACAATGTGGTATATGCAATACAATGCAGTGAGGACTGCAGATCTGTACATTGAGAAACAAAAGAACCACTTCATAAACGCATGGCACAACATAGAACAAACCCATCAGGACAGGATTCAGCAGTTCATCTGCATTTTAAAAAAATGGATGAGAAGCAAAATGTCTTCAAAGAAAAACAAGAAAGTCCAGTTGCCTCTTGAAAAAGCACCTTTGGGACAACCATGACCTGGATGACTGAGACTCTCCATAGATATCCCAATACATATTTATATTTATTTACCTTGGATTAGATAGTTTAAAGTAAGATTTGAACTGGAAACATGGTGGCTTTCATCTTATAGTTTTAACCATTATACAATATCAGTTGATTCAGATTGTGATTCAAGGCAAGCAACTACACAAGAAATCAAAGAACTTATGATAAGTAACATTTATTGAAGAAAATTAGGAATCCATAAACAATATAATTCCTGCAACAGGTGTAATTCATGACCCAGTGTCAGGCATGAAAGACTAGGATATGTGATGCTCCAATTAAACAGATTATTGCTAATTATTGCTAATGCCTATGCACAAGAATATTCTCAGTGGTTAAACCCTGCTACGATAAAGGTCAATAGAATTCACAGTGGATTGTATTTACTGCATTTGTGGCTAAGTAGCAAGTCTGATCCCTCTTTTACTTCCACTCTTGCACTCCTTCCCTTTCCACATAGTTATCTCTGTAGCTGCCCTTCCCTTCTTGCATGGTTTCTTCAGAATCTTAGTTCTCATGTGAACTTGGCAGTGGAGGCAGTAAAGCCATTCCAAAGGAATCTTCCTCTCCCATGTCCAGATCAATCTTTGATCCAGTGGTGCTGGCTGAAAAAAAATATTAGTCTCCCACCCACCCCTTGGGATGTGAAGGCCAGAAGTGGAGGCATATTCAACCATCTGGCCTCCCCTGGATAGGTCCACAGAGGCTGATTAATCCCTTCAGCTACTGATTCTTTGGGCAGGGCAGAGGGCCAAGAACTTAGTCGGTGAAGGTTAACCAAGGAAATGTTGGTGAAACTACTGGATTAATTCGGGGGCGTGGACATATCTGGCATTCTCCCAAGAGAGTTCAGATTCTGAGTATATTTTCCAATGCATCAAGTACTGTGTTCCTCTGCCCTTTATTCTGGAGTCTGGAATCTCTACCACTTCGCATTCCTTTTCTCCTTCCACAATCACTAGCAGTGGGGGCAGGTGCTGGAAGCGCAAGGTGCTAGGGGCTTTTCTTTGAGTATGTTGAATAGTAAAAGATTGAACGCATTTTCATTGAGGGGACAATTGTAAATGAGATGCTACAGGATTGATCTACTAGATGACCTTGAAGGGACCCACAAACTTTGCATCTAGCTTCTTAAACAGTATTGAAGTGACTAAGAACTTGATAATTGTAAAACTTTGTCTCCTGCAGCTAAAGGAGGCCTTCCTGTCAATGGACACTTGCAACCTTCTTGTATAACTGCTTTGCCTGTTCTAGCTGCTGTTTCATCAGTGTTTGGGCAAGAAGCTGCTCTTGCACAAAATCTACAGCTAATGGGACAGAGCCCTTCTCATTCAGGCTCCCTGGTAAAACTCAGATATGTGCCACACAAAGCTTGAAAGGGGTCATAGCAATTGATGTATGGAGACAGTTTTTGTATGAAAATTCTGTGAATGGTAAGAGTAAGGGCCAATTGTCTTGGCTGCGTATGCAATACTTCTCAAATGTTGGAGCATTTTATTAGTCTTCTCCATCTCACCACTTGTAGCTGAGTGGTAGGGTGAAGACAAATCCATTTCTGTTTTTCAATCATTACGATGCAACCTGCAGTTCAAGAATATATTGCATCTGTCTGTCCCCCAATCTTAATGTAATTTTAGATAATCTTCATTCTATGGCACTATGTATTTTCAGTTGCCATAAACTATCTTAGACAAAGAAGAAAATCTACCATTTACTTTAAAGAAAAAAATGCTATTTCTAAGGCATTTTTTCCTGTTGTACTTTCTTTAAAAAAAGCTTTGTTATTACTAGATCAATGGCAAAGGATATAATTACCTCAGATAAAGGCTTGGCTGGCTGGCAGTGCAGACCTCCAACAAATTCAAAGTTTGGGAGAAAAGGTCGTGGAAATTCAAAATCCCAGTAGGTTCGGACTAACCACATTTCTGCTTTACCCATTATTTCACACAATGTTATGGGTCTCCCTACAGATATAAAATACTGAAGTTATGTACTGCTTGTTTCTCCTGCACTGGTCCTTAATAGGTTTAGTGATGCTGATTTCAGAAATATTCAAAATCATTACATTATGTTTTCAACTGAACATTACTCACAGTTTTAAAATACATGTCAACAGTGGTGAGCAAAACTTTCCCAAAAATATGAATTTGTTCACTAAGGGACCAAAATAGGTCAACCTTCTTGATGGGATATCTTCCACTGGCATTGGGTAATTTTTGAAAAGCAATGTTTAGCTATGAAGTGCGTACTTAATTCACATACTAGGAGCTGGTTAGAGTCTATTTCTAAAGAGGTGCATTGTTGAGTGATGTATATGTTTCAATAGAAAAAAGTTATGCTGAACTACCTTTTAATTTTATACAAGATGGAACAACTATTGTGGAGTGTAATAGTTAAAACAGGTGGTCAAAGAAAGAACAATCCCCATTCATTCTACAGAGAAGAAGGCATTTTGTACACAGATCTCCTATAAATCTCTTATACTTCCTTAATTTCCTTCTTTTTACGTATAAATGGGAGTATTACAAAACTAGGAATTTCTGAAACCTTATTCACAAAAGGCAAAAAACAGAGTATTGGAAACAACTTAATGGTCCAGTCAACAAGATGAACGGGAAAACCATAATTGTGACAGAACTAGTTTACAGGTGGTCCTTGGATTATAATGGCAATTGGAATTGGAATTTCCATTGCTAAGTGATGCAATCGTAAAGCGCAACTTTAAATGTAGATACAGTACATGCGGGCACAATGAGCAGGTCAAAAAAAATTATAGGTTTGCTTTGGGCTATCTGGGTGCTGGGGGTGGAATTTCAGGAGATTAATAAAAATTGACTAAAAAAAGTTTGGGGAGGGGGGGAAATAACTCAAGAAAGAGGACTTCCGGTGTGCAGGCGACCTCGTCGGACGCAGCCGACAGCTGCCTCCCGCCTGTTTTCGTGTAAAAGCCGTTTTGACAGCAAGCATCAGCTGTCCAACGGCTTGATACCTTTCCCCCGGGCATAAGGGGATCGGTGAGCCGCCCGGGGTAGGAGTTGAGTTCCCGAGTCGTCCTATGTGGACGATGTAGGTTAGAACTCCTCCGGAGCCCCGAGGATTCTCCGCGATCCAGGACGCCTTCGCTTCGGCGAAGCTAGAAGCCGCCGACACCGCTGCAACTTAAACTGAACTGTGA